CATTCAGCAGTACCCTGACCTCTAACCCACTGACCTCTGACCTAACTGTATATGCATTGGCTCTAACATGCATGGCATATTGAATCTGATGTAAACGCAGAATGTTCCGCACGTTATCAGGGCTACACGGCAAATGGTCTTCACGTATCATTAATCTTTGCGATGATTTCTTGCAGTCGATACCTGAAGTATGAAGATGACCACTCTATGATGCTATAACATGGCATTATGTAGATTCATCATATTAAGTAACTCCCACAATAGTTTAATGGAACATGTGAGTGTTGTTGCCGCAACGAGCTTGCATTTTCCCTATTCAGAACATCAGATGGCATTATATATGCTGTGAAGTTGGAACTTGGCGTCTCACAGAGACTAACTGTACTGCTGGTATTGTACTGTGGATGGGTTTCGTCACAACTCGTTCTAATATCTCATTGTCGCAGAAAAAGTAAGATCTTCTATGATGGATTTCAGCAGCTGATGTTTGTCTCCTATATATGCTGTGATAATGAGAATAATCTCGGAGACACCGCGTGTTAATAAGGCGTCATCTTCCTCTACCTATATAGGCAGTCGCTCCGCAATAGGTTGTGGAGGTAGATGCAGGGAGGATCTAGGACAGTGGTTCTTAACCTTTTTTTGAGTCATGCACCCCTTTTATTTGAGAATCTAGTGACAGCTACGGACCCCGCCCCAGAAAAATCCACATAAGCACATAAACATAAAATATTTTTATGCGCCTGGTTCACGGACCCCTTGAAGCGCATCCACGGACCCCAAAGGTCCACAGACCACAGGTTAAGAACCCTTGATATAGGAGGTTACTGATGGCTGGTAGCTATGCACATGATGGTACATACTGGTTGTAATAGAGCAGGCAACACATAGCGCATCTATGTGAACAAGCTCACGTTTACGTTTGAGCATAATGTTGGGACATTATTTAGTAGTGCAGCAGAATTCAACGTGAATCCTGTTACAGCAATTCCTATAACCATACTTGATGATTTGACACAATGGGGATTTAAAGTTTCAATCTGCTCATTTCCTCAGTAGACACATAGTGTAACTGTGATATTGTTTTTTCTTGATTTTTAGCTCATCTGACGTAGTCAGGTGCAGCTTGTAGAATCGCATGATCGTCCGTCCGTCCGGCCGTCCGTGCGTCCATCCGTCCGTCCGTCAACAGTTGGGCACAAATCGTAACCGCTCGACGTACGGTCACGGGACGTGGGGGGGGGGGGGGGGGTAATCCGAAAACGAGTTGGGATGTTGAAGCTG